AAAAAAAAAAAAAAAAAAAAAATTAATTTAAAAGTCTGCTCAAAATCCCATGAAAAACCTGGGGGAGGTCTGATGGAGAAATGGAGAATGTGCATCTCACAAGCACCGCACTGATCTAAGGTGCTCTCCTGCTGACCAGCACACAGCTCTTACCTGTGAAACATTGAATGAAAAGATTCAAGCTGCAGGAAGAAACCTTCCCTAATGAGTGCAATGTTAGCAGCCAAGGGTATTTCCACACTTCATGGTGAGACACATCCACACAAAGCATCTCAGGTCCAAGAAGAGTCTGCCACATCTGTGCACTGCCACACTCACACCATCCATCAGCTGATCTTCATATGCCTCCACTTCTGAGATTAGCAACACACAAAGCCAACAAGGGCACAGATATCTGCACCCTGTTACATACAGCTGTAGCCCACTGCATCAGGAACAAAACCCTACAGCCTTCCTGCTGCTCACAACTCCTCTCCCCAGGACCAGGTGCATGAATTCTTCTCATTTCTCCTCCTTGCCACCCAGAAGTGACACCACTCTTGGGTCTTAATTACTTGAAACTGAGCACTAACTCCTGCCATAGCCCAACAACTCCACAGCCACCCAGGGGAACCTCAGTTCACATTTCCAAGGAGATGTAAACACTGAAGCTGCTCCATCACAACTCTGATTCTCAGAGCAAACAAATATTAACAAGGTAAACAAAAGAATGAAAAATCCCACACACAAAGATGAGGCTGTAATACTGCCTTGGGGATGGGGTGAGCTGAAGGGAATACCAGACTGGAGATCCACAGCCTGGAAAAAAGGAGGAAGAGCGAGAAGAATTCAGACTGGGCAACAGAGGTGAGAGGAAACATTGGACATCCTGCTCCAGCTGGCTCTGGAAACTGAGATGCCACCGTTCCTAATAATAGGTGAGAGGAAAAGTTTGGTTTATGCCACAGGGATCCTGCAGAAGGTCCAAAGCAGAGCCATGGGACCTGAGGGCCTCCTCCTCATTCATCAGCTGCCCCAAGGCCATCTACTTCATCTCTCACAGAGGGGGCTTTAACCTGGGTCTTACTCCTGGACATTGCCCAGTTGACAGACAGCAGCCCAGCACAAGCCAGACAGAAGGCAGCACAAGGCAATCCCCTCAGGAAAGGAGCTGAGAGGAATACATGTGTGAGAAACGCTTTTCCCTGTCACACAGCTTCTGAATGCCACCATTGTTAACCTCCTTCTAGTTTTCACTAATTGCCCATGCATTTATAGTCAAGCAGCCAAGGTGCCTCCTGCCCTTCTGTCTCTGATTCTCCCTGCAGGCCAATGGCTCGCTTTCTCGTGGACATCAGTTACTAGGGATCATGAAATTTTTCAGCTGGACTTGATGATCTTAAAGGTCTTTTCAAACCAAAATGATTCTTTAATTCTATTTTGTATGCTGCCTGGGGCTTCAGGGCTTCTCAGAGCAGCTGGACTGCTCTGGTTGTTCCTACCATGTTCCAGCCAACCACCAGCATGTTCTTCAGCTGTCTGGAAGGCAGCAGAGACAGCTTTCCTGAAGAAGCATTCATGGTGACACCACAAGAGGCTTGCTCTCTCTGTCACACCCCAGGCCTTGCACATGCTGCTCCAACTGCACAACTCATTGTTCAGGACTTCTCTAAGGAACAGGCTGTCCACACACAGCCCCCGACCTCCTCTCAGCTGCACCTTCCCTTCCAGAGTGGTTTACGGTTCCCAAACAAGTTAGATGAACTGGTCACAACAAAAATCTCATCCCATGCATTTCTGACACAACTGATCTTGTGGTATCTTCCTGAGTGATTTTCCCCTCTCCCTGCTATTACCCATTATAACTCCCTATGCTGCTTTATTGTTGAGTTTTGTTCATCTATCTTCAACCTCCTTTTGTAGAACCTTAGAGATAGAGGAGGATGAAAAGGCACAGCACAAAACTTCACTGCCACCAGACCCCTCTTCCCAATGTTAGACACTGCTATTTATTACTAAACTTTGTTTATAGTTGCGCACTCTCCCACCCACATGGCAATGTTTCATTCAAGACAAGTTTGAATTCACTTCAAGAAAAACATTTCAAAGGATCCCAAAGCATTTGTTTACAAACAGCATGCATGGAGAATTCACTTCTCCCACCAATGAACATGGTCCCCTCCAAGACAGGGAGAGGCAGCTGTTTCATAGTACCCAACACTACTCAACAGCTGAGGGACAGGAAATGATCCACAGACAACTGATATTGCTGAAGAAACTTACGGAAAATGAGGACTGGAGACTTCTATTTGCCAGGGGAGAACGGGGAAGCTTCTGAGGACTAAAGCTCTCCACTGGGTCAGGAGGAATTTAGGGAGGCAAAGCATCCCAGACTGTGGTCAAAGGAGTGACTCCAAATTTCAAGCCTCATCTGAAAGCTGGCACCTCCCGAACTAACGGGAACCTGGGCACTGGGATAATTTGGCTGAGGAGGGGAGAGCACCCCCTGCTGAGGCAGCCACAAAGATCTCATCCAAGCCTCAACAGGCCCAGCCCTGTTCAACATGGGGTACAAGCCAAAATCACAGCCTAGAGAGGTATTTGGTGCAGTGAGAAGACATGGAGAGGCTATAAAACTGAAAACACTTTGCAATCCCAGCTCCATACACGAGACCTACTGTACACACTAAATCTTCAGAGGAGGAAGGACAACTCCTTCAAATACAAGTCCTTGGAATGGTAAAGAGTTGTATGTTGTGGAAGCCAAGAGCATCCCAGAATGGAAAAAGAGGTGCTCAAAAAGGTTAAAGGAAAGTCAGATGTAGGAAATCCAGACACAACGAATTGATGACAAACAGTGTTACAGGGAGCTGGCTTCACATGGTACTTGCTCCCCAGAACAGTAACCAACTTTAAGCAGGTAAGAAACAACAGGGGCTCCCCAGAAGATTGGTGAGTACAACTTCCAAACAAGGGACAGAACACACCTCCTCACCACCTGTGATGGGAGGAACCAAAGGGCATCACAAAAGAGGTGATGGAAACACCAGTGTTGGAAGAGAGCTGCCCTGCTGGAGAAGGGATATGAGGCAGGGCTGCACCGCTATTCCATACCAAAGACTGAGCACAGGAATCTCACTCTGAGGATGGGACATGTACATCAGTACAGTGGGTCTTGCACACACCCCTTGCTCAGAGATAGGCAGCACATGGAGAGCTCTCACTCCTTCTCCATGGGGGCAGGGGAGGAGAAAGCTGGTCCTCTCTATGCATTCTTCCCAAAAATGAGATGCAGAGGACAGAGCTGCCAAAATGGATGTCCCTCCCCAAAATGGATGTTAGGAGAACAAAACTGTCCCAAATACATTTCATAGAAAGAGCTGATGGAGGTGGCACTACCTCCACACCGTGTTTTGGAGGAGGGAGCAAGGGGCACTTTCTCCAGGCAGGCACACGGGGCGATGCCCAGGCCCTTTTGGTGGGTAATGACAGTCCTGAGTCGGATACGACCTGGGGATGCCACCCTAGACACCCCAATGTGGCCTGCATGGGAGATACTACATCAGGCAAGGTGTTGGCCAAACATCCTGAGTACGGGGAGGGGGTGACCCTCAGATGGGGATGATGGTCTCCTCCAAGGCGCCTCTGGCACCTAAAGCAGGATATCACCAGCTCTCTCACTGAGTTTAGCATGGAGCAGCTTCTCCAGAGCTGATACGGGATCTGAGGATGTGGGGCTGTCCCCGGAGGTAGCACCCAGGGACAACGAACCCCAGAGAATGTGCACAGGGGGGTACCACCACCAGCCTCCCACAGGTGAGATCCTGGGGTGCACGGAGAGTGTGTCCCCCCAGACAGAACCCAAGGGGGTCACCACCCCCATCCTCTCCAAGGAAAGGCAATGGGGATGGAGGATGGATCGGGATCCCCCTCCCCGCGCCGGGCACGAGAAGAGCACCTCCCCACCCCGGGGTCCCGGCCCCGCAGTCCCGGGGCGCAACCGGGGCCGAGGGGCAGCCAGCCCCGGCCTCAGCCCCGTGAGGGGCGGGAGTTCTCCAGTCGCCCCCCAGTGCTCCCCGGGGAGTCCCACGGGGCCCGGGCTCCACGCGTGGCCCCGGGGGACCGGGCCTGGGCCCGCTCTCACCCGAAGTCGTCGTCCATGGACTTGAAGTAGAACTTGTAGTTGGGGCGGTTGAGGAGCCCCTTGAAGTCGCCGAGGGTGACGCGCTCGGCCGGGATCGGCAGCTTCACCAGGTACGGCGTCTCCTGCTCGTCCAGGTGGTAAATGATCTTCGTCTCGGCCGCCGCCATGGCGCCCCTGCCCGGCCGCCAGGCCCCCGCCTCTGACTCCGCCGCCTCCTCCGCCCCGGCCCGGACCCCCAGACCCGGCCCGGCCCCCGCCCGCGCCCCGGCCCGGCCCGGCTGCGGCCTCCGCACGCCCGCTCCCCCCGCGCCCCTTGTTCTCCGGGTCCCAGCGCCGCCCGGCTGCACGGCGCAAGCTCGGCCTCGGCCGGCCCCGCCCCGCCCGCCGTCCCGGCCCCGCCGGAACCGGAACCGGCGCCCCGCGGGGCCGCGGCGCGGAGCGGGACCGACCCCGCACCGGCATTCGCTATGGGCCGGGACTGGGCTCAGCGGGCAGCCCGCGAGTTTGGGCCCAGATCCCGCCACGATGCTGGCCCGCACCCTGCCCCCGAGCTAGATCCCGCATCGATAGGAGACCCCCCCCCCCTTCGCTAGAACTGACCCTCTCGTTTGGAACTGACCACCCTACACATCCATCCACTGTGCCCTGTGGGGGTGCACGGCCCCTGGGACTGCACACCTCCAGCCCCATCGCCCGTGGGTGCGTTGGGGTTTATACTTTATATCCACATCCTCCTATCCGCAGCCTGGTACTCCCCGTGCACCCACATTCCCAGTGCCAGCTGGCAATATACCTCTCCCAGGCTCCCCACCCCCATTCAGCTTTCACACCCCTGTTACACCCTCTGATGCTGCTTCACACACAGGGTCGTTCCCGTGTCCCACAGCCTCTGCTTCTGTCCACACTCCAAGCCTCCCCTTCTATCTCTGCAGCCCTGGTCCTTTATCACACACCTCCCAGCTTCGCCATGCTCCTCACACAGCTATGTGCCCCATGAGTACAGCTTACAAAACACGAGGCATATCCATCTCTACCCTACTCTCCCATGTACAGACCCCTCTGAGCTTCCTGTACTGTGTCTCAGATGGCCACCACACACAGGGACTATCATCAACCCCAGCTCGTCTACAGCTGAGGCTTCCCTCTGAACCCCTTGTCACCATCCAACAACTAACCCCAGTATTCAGACCTTTTCCTCACCAAGCAGACTCTTTCCTCTGCTCTTTGTGAGCATCCCCTGTTCCACATACCATGGCCTCTTCAACTGGGCACCTTTTGGCTGTGTGGTTTCTTCCCATCCTCTATCTCCCTGGACCCCAGCACATTTTTACCTATAGTCATCAGCACTGTGACCCCAGCCCCTAGGACTTGCCTCTGTTCCACAGCAGTCTCAGGCTGTCTGATTTCCCCTCTGCACACCTTGCCAGCACCCAATGGGCACCACGGAACCATCTCCATCAGCAGTTTCCCGGAGCTGTGGCTGAGAGCAGAGCTGGGGTAGATGGAATTTTGGGAACACCCACCAACAGGAAGGGCAAGAACTGCCTTGCACTGTCCTGGATTAGAAGGAACAAATGCAGAGGAAGCACCACACCATGGGCCTGCACAGGGTGTGAGACTAGATCAGCCCTCAGACTAGACTCCCCTGCCGTAGGAAAAGGAGTCAGAGAGATCCTAGAGGGAACAGAGCCAAGTTCCTCAGGCAGGCAGGCAGGCTGAGCTAAAAAAGCCTCCTAATGCATGAAATAGTCCTGCAGGCATTGCTAGTTATTACCTGGGCAGCACTGCTAGACTGGGGGAAGAACCTGACATTAAACTGAAAAAAAGAGTAAGAATCTAAGGGAAGTAAGTCCTCAGGTAAGCAGAAGTTGTAAGAGGTCTGAGACTCTCCTGTGTTTCCACATCAGCTCTTGGAAGATTGTAATTTCTTTATGCTCGGAGCTCTGTGGTAAAAGCTGGTGTACCTGGAATGAAGAATCCAGGTCAGGAATGGAAGTTTAATTTAAATTGCTTCTTCCTGTGTCAACCCCGACAGAGCTAAGCCTAAAGTCTTTGTGTAACACCTCTCTGCCCCAAAAGCAGGCACATGTAAAAGAATCCTAGTCTGCCCCAGCAGGGCCACTGTCTCACCCACCTCCCAGCACAGCTGTGGATGCACCTCAGAGCCTGTATTGTACACATTAGACACCTTTGTTACCAAAAGGGCAATTTTCAGTAGTGCTGAGCTCCCAAAGGAGCACATGCAGCTCAGGGGAGCGGTACCACACCCCCCAGGGTAGTAGTAGATGAAATCTCATTGCTACAGCTGCCTTTTCTTTTAAAACAGGTCAAGTGACAGAATAGACTCAATGATAGATTGGTTCCACTGCTCACAGAGGCCTTGTGGTGTATGACTCACTAACACAGTGACAAAGAAATTAGCAGGAGGGGATTATGCTGTGCACTCCAAGGTCCTCAAGGAAGAGTTTCTGAACTGCCTGTTGGCTTATTTTTGCAATTATTGCAACTTAAAAATTGCAGCATTGATAACATTGTTTCTCCTTAGAGAGTACAGAGGCATCAGACATTTTAGTGCACCTTGGAACAGCACAAAGCAGAGGTGGATGTACTTGAGTTCCATTGCTTACACCTTTAAGCAACACCAAACTATTATCTTCTTTTAAAAGGGTTACTATTGTTAACTGAAGTTATGGGTTTGATACAAGAATGCCTTCCCTTCCCTTCCCTTCCCTTCCCTTCCCTTCCCTTCCCTTCCCTTCCCCC